ACCGCCTTCAGCGGCAGGACCTTTAGCGTGGCCGTGCCGCTGCTGCAGCTGAGGCCGCCGACCCCGAACTTGTTCGTCAACTCGAGCTGGCCCCCACCTTCCCAGCCACCCCCGACGGCGGCGCAAGTGCCTTCATGGACGCTGCACCTGGCGCCGCGGCTGCCGTCGCAGAGGGCTCGTCAGCTACGACACTGCCACGAGAATGTCTACCGCTGGAGAAGCAGATTCTGATGTTGGTCACTAAGCTGTTCGGCGTCGCCCAGAAGACGACCGAGGCGAGTGTCTCCACCATGGTCACCAACAGCATCCAGGCCATGCAGGGCTTGCTCCAGTTGGGCATTGTGCAAACCATGCAGGCCCAGCTCCCCCCGGTCCACACCAAGCACGCCGAGCTTGAGCGCGAGCTCCACGTCTACTGAACCTCCACCCGCAAGATGGAACGTGAGCAGCGTCAGTTCAAAGACGCCGTCAAGAAGATGGAGGATGTCCTCGCGATCGCGGAGGCCAAGCTGCCCGGCTTCACCATGCAGCAGTCGGCGGAATGGGATCGCCCTCCTGAGCCCACCGTTTTCTCCTGTGGCAGTCCTGGCATCTTCACCGCCGATGCCCTCAAGACAGCTGTGGCCCAATGGTTTTCAGACGCCCGCGTGCCCATCAACTGCATGCGAGTTGTCGGCTCGGAGGCACCCAACGAGCGCTTCAACATACAGATCGAAGGAGGTGCCGAGGCCGCCGCCCGCGCTTTGGCTCTCACCAGGAGTCGTAAGGTCAGCGGCCGCTGGCGCAATTTCGTGGTCCACAACGCCGCTAACAAACCGCTGCCGTCATACGTCTGCGGGGACAAGAGCCCCAAAGACGTCCGGCGCGAGGCGCAGTCCAAGAAGCTGCACGCCCTCCTCGAAAACGATCGCCCTGACCTCCAACGCAGGCGGCCCAACGGCACCATCAGCGTTGACTCAGTCCCCGTCTGCGAGCTCCAGGTGGGCGCCATGGGCGAGCCGACCTCCATCATCTGGAGCCCGCACACCATCGAACGCTACAACACCGACTACGCCAAGTACCGCTCGCAGATCGCCAACATGTGCACCACCACTTCGACAGACAAGTCTGGGTGGTAGTCCTGATGCAAGGTGGTGTCCTTGGGCAGCTGGCGCGACTCCGTCACACGCTGCCCGTGGCCCACACGTCACGTGGAACGCCGGCTCTTTCCTGTGCCCCCACAAGCTGCGGCGGCAGCGGAAGCTTCGTCACATTGCTCTCTTCCTACGCCAGCGCGCCGTCATCGTTCTTCAGGAAGTTAGAGGGCCACGTCAATTGTTGATCGAATGCCTCAAACAGGTCACCTCGGATTATGATGCACGCTTCTGCGCTGCCCCACTGCGCGAGAAACTCGCCTGCTGGATGCGGAGGAGCGGCGGTGCTCGCCCCGAACTCGGCGGCCGATGCGATCGCGGCACTGCCTGCGGAGGACTGGCCTCAGCAGTGGCAAAATATCGCCGCGCCTGGCCGGGCGCGGGTCATCCACGTCAATAGCCCCATGTCCAACAAGAGCATGCGCATAATAAACGCTTACAATTTTGATTTGACGGCCACCACCGCGGCCGCGCGGCACGCCGCTGCATGTTGGGCTGCCGAGGACGTGGAGAATCGGTCCTTCATCGCGATCGGCGATTTCCAGTTGAACGCGACGCAGACGGCCTCCTATTTCCATCCAGCACCTTGGCAGGCCCGCCGGCCAGCCGCGCGTCACCGCCAGCATCCGCGACAGTGGAAGGACACGTTGGATGACCAGATGGTCGAGGTCACCAGCGAGCCCCCTACGAGATGCGACAAGATGACGGACACGGCCACTTGCACTGTTCGGGCATCCGCGTCGTTGCCGCCGCAGTCGGTGGAACAGCTCGCTCGCGACTTCGAGGTTCACCGCGAGGCGGCTAGCTGCGCGGAGTGGACTCTGAGTGACCACGCCGCCGCTGATCTACGACTCCGCCCCAAACAGCACGCCCCACCTGAGGGACAGCATCACGCCGCGCATCTTCAAGGCGCCGCTCTACGCGAAGACTTTTTGTTCTAACATAACACTTGTTCACGAATTCCTTGCAAAAATTGGGACGAAGTGCACACGCGCGCGCAGTCGCGCGCGCATGCCGAAGTCCTCAAAAAACATTCGGTGTCGGAAGGAAATCGCAATCGAGTTTCCAAAAAATATACAAAAACACAGGATTTCGCATTACTGATTTGCTAAAAAAGCTCACGCGCGAGCTCTTGCGAAATCTTACGAAAACCATAGGTTGTTTCAAGATTTTCACAAAATTCTACCAAACGGGCTTCGCGCGCGCGCATGTCGAATTCTGTCGAACGCCCTTGCGCGCGTGCCGTCGCGAGAATCATCTGCAAAAAATGGGCGAAGTGCAGACGCGCGCGTCGTCGCGCGCGTATGCCGAAATCCTTCAAAACCCATCGGCTTCACATCGTGTGCCCAAAAAAACCTACAAAAACGCAATGTCTCGCAACACGGATTTTCAACAAACAGGGCGCGCGCGCTCTTGCGTCGTCGTCGTCGTCGTCGTCGCCGTCCTCCCTCCTCCCGCGTCGTCGTCGTCGTCGTCGCCTACGTCGTCCTCTGTCTTTCTTTGTGTTCGTCGTCGTCGTCCTCTTTGGCGTCGTGGTCGTTTCCGTCGTCGTTTTCGCCGTGGTCGTCCTTCCTATTCCTCCTCCCTCGTCGTCGTCCGTCGTCGGCGTCTCGTCGTCGTCCCTCCCATTTCGTCGCCGTCGTCGTTGTCGTCGTCGTCGGTGTCGTCGTCGTCGTGTTCCCTCCTCCCTCGTCGTTGTTGTCGTCGGCGTCGCCGTCCTTCCTCCTTCTTCGTCGTTCGCGTCGTCGCCGTCCTCCCTCCTCCCTCGTCGTTGTCGTTGTCGTCGTTGTCGCCGTCGTCCTCCCTCCTCCCTCGTCGTCGTCGCCGCCGTCGTCGCCGTCGTCGTCGTCGTCGTCGTCGGCGTCGTTGACGTCGTCGTCGTCGTCGGTGTCGTCGTTGTCGTCGTCGTCGGCGTCGTCATCGTCGTCGTCGTTGTCATCGTCGTCGTCGTCGGCGTCGGGTGTCGTCGTTGTCGGTGTCGTCGTCGTCGTCGTTGTCGGCGTCGTCGAAGTCGTTGGAGACGTCGACGGTGTCGTCGTAGTCGTTGTCGGCGGCGTCGTCGTCGTCGTTGTCGCTGTCGTCGTCGGCGTCGCTGTCGCTGCCAAGTGCCATTTGGTACCCACCGTCACGGTCTTACGAGATTTTGCAAATTATCCCAGTGCGACCCTACCTAGGAGTTGGAGCCCCTGGGATAGCAGCATTAGTAGTAACAGTAAAGCTAAGCTAAGATAAAGCTAAGCTGAAGCTGAGCTAAAGCTAAGCTAAAGCTAAGCTAAAGCTAAACTAAGGCTAAGCTAAAGCTAAGCTAAACCTAATCTAAATCTAAGGTGAAGCTAAGCTAAAGCTAAGCTGAAGCTAAGCTAAAGCTAAGGTAAAGCTAAGCTAAAGCTAAGCTAAAGCTAAGCCAAACTAAGCTAAGCCAAGCTAACCTAAGCTGAGCTACGATGATATGACATAAGCTAAGCAAAGCTAGGCTAGGCAAAGCTAAGCTAAGCTAAGATGAGATAAGCTAAGCTAAGCTAAGTTAAGCTTAGCTTAGCTTAGTTTAGCTAAGCTAAACTGGGTGAACCCAGGGGGCGTAACTGGGGGAACCGCGGGGCGAATACTGGGGGAACCGCCCGGGCCGGTTCCCACTGCCCGGCCCTTGAAGCCAAGAGAGTAAGAACCCTTCTAGGCAGAGCCTAGGTAGGGAATAACATAAGATGAAATAAGCAACACTAAGCTAAGGGGACGTAACTGGGGGAACCGCGGGGCGGATACTGGGGGAACCGCCCGGAGCGCTTTCCACTGCCCGGCCCCTTTAAGCCCAAGAGTAAGAACCCTTTTAGGCAGAGCCTAGGTAGGGAACCAAGTTGCGGGTGGGTGGGCGGGATGTTTGCGCGAGCAGTGGAGTGGACAACTCACTGCGAACAGAAATTAGTTTGCACCACATAGATTGCATCACACCGATTGCACAACATAGATTGCACCACATGGGTTGCTAGAAACACACGGTTTGGGGCCCACATTGGCTAACATCCTTCTTATATTCCTCACCAAATTATGTTCTTCCTCCTCCTCCTCCTCATCATCCTCATCCTCATCCTCATTCTCCTCCTCCTCTTCCTCATCCTCCTCCTCCTCCTCCTCCTCCTCCTCCTCCTCCTCCTCCTCCTCCTCCTCCGTTCCCTCTGGGGGAACAGGCAGTGCTTCCAAGAGGTGTTTAGTGGAGCGCCCCCAGAGGGCCTACCCCCATCCAAGATAAACACCACGGGCGACGAGGACGACCGCTTCCTGACCAGGCTGTACAGCGAGCTGAGCGTGCACACGCTGTTCCTGCCTGCCACTTCTCGGGAGGGACTACAGGAATCTGCGGGCGGCAATTGCGACGAAAATTGGAAGTGGTGTTGCCTTTTCTGTCATCTTGTTCCTCCTTCTCCTCTTCTACCTTCCTCGTCCTCCAGCCAGTGCCGCCCGTGGACTTGGCAAACCTCACAGCATTACAAAAAAAAACACAGCAAGACAGCCATGGCCCGGCGCCAGCACGGCCAGACGTCCTTTTGACGCAGCGTCCTGTAACGTTACACGCCCCAGGGCTTCTGTGTTCGCTGCTCCTGCAGGACCTCTCCACGCTGAAGTGGGAGCAGCTGACGCCAGAGTTCCGGGACGAGCTCGGGGTCCTCCGCAAGCACATCCTCCATAGGCTCACACTTTGCATCTAGAGGAGGAGTGGAGGCGGAGGAGGAGGAGGAGAAGGAAGGGGAGGCGGAGGAGGAAGACGTGGCGGCGGAGAAGGATGGAAGCGGAGGACATTGAAAAACAGCCTCCAAAGGCTCACAGCTCGCACCTTCGAAGGCAGCCCGATGACAGGGCAGACGCTGGACAGGACTATCCTCTTCTGCCCGTCCTCATCATACTACTTCAGTTGCCGCTGATGTTGCTCGTGATTATGATGATCATGCTGTTCCTATTTCTGCTCGTGTCGCCTTATTGTTTTCCTCCCGCCTCCTGATCTTCCTCATCATCCTGGTAATCTTCCTTTCCTGACCATAGTCCTCACCGCCATCATCCCTCATCACCATGCCTTGCTTCTCCAGAGGTGACAACAGGTGTTCTCTCTCTGCTCGTCGATATGGAGTCTAGCACAGGTGGAATTCGCTGACAAGCCGTGTTTGGCTGCTACGGCGAGAACATTGCACACGGCGGCAGTCCGCGGGCAGTGGTTTTGCTTTGCGATTGCGGCCACGGCAGCGGCCTTGTGGCCCTTCACTCTGGGCGCAATCCGGAATTTGGCCCTGCCAGCGCCGCAAACGAAGAGGTCGGGGCGTGGCTCCATGGCGAGCGACCCGGTGCTACGTGAACAGGCCCAGCACTTGCTGGTGTTGGGACGCGTGCGGGCCCGCGGGAGCGTCGCCGCTTGTCCGGACCTTGGCTTGTGCATTGAGGTGCTGGAGGCCGACCTCGAGAAGCCCAGAGGCCGCGCAGTGTCGGGGCTGGCGGGCGCTGGGCAACCAACACTGCGGCGGGATCGTCGGGGATCTGAGAGGGGACACCGACGGCGTCTTCATGGATGGTGGCGCGGGCCGTGCCAAGGCCGAAGCGGATCGCGCGGCTCCAGCCGAACGCGCCGCGGCGGCCACGACGGGAGCCGCACGCTGGGCGGGGGCGACGAGCGCGCGGCCGAGATCGAGGCCGAGCGCCAGGAGGGCGGGCGCGAGGCGGAGGCCGAGCCGAAGGGTCTGGGCGAGGGGCGGCCGCCGAGTGCTCGGCCACGGATGCTGGGGGCAGGGCATCTGACGGCGGGCCGACGGAAACCTGCCGCGCGACCCCACCGCGCAGGCGTTGGCCCCGAGCTCCGCCGAGGGCGTCGAGCAGAAGGGCCGGCTGCAACTACGGCTGTGGGAGCGGCGACGCCGCGTGCCGCGCCATGGGCGGTGACCTCGCGGTGGCGGGGCGGCCAGCCACATGGGTTTCAGGCCGCGGATCTGGCGAGGGCGCCAGCCCCGTGCGCTTGCCCCAGCTAGCCTGAATGCCCATGCGGCGGTAGGCCGCACTCGAGGAGGCGGCCGCCCCACTGACCCGGATAAGTTGTGGCGATGGTGGAGGACTAATAACGGTAGTAGTTGTTGTGGTTGAGGTAGTGGTGGTGGTGGTGGTGGTACTAGCACGTGTAGCGATAGAACGGTAGAAGATGATCGCAAAAGCAGCCGCAACCGTGCAGTAGTAGCCGCAATAGTCGTAGTCGTAGTAGCACTAGCACTAGCTCCAGCACCAGTGTTGGTAGTAGTCGTGGTGATGGCCGCAGTCGCTGTAAGAATCACCCCAGTGGTGAAAGTAAGAGCAGGAATGGTCATAGCGACGGTCATGGTAGGCGCAATAGCGTTGGGGCCTTTGAAACGCTGAGGCTGAGGAGGGGCAGAAAACGAAGGAGCAGCATGAGTAGGACTGCCACCACCACTGCCACCATCACATCCTGACCTAGACAGGATGGTGGTAGTTTTAGATGAAATAATCGGACTGGTGGTGGTGGTAGCGTTGGTGATGGTAGCACCTGCAAAAATACTTGTATCATTGAGGGCAGTAGCAAGTCGTGGTAGCAATGGTGGAGTATGAGCACGGTGTTCCCCACTCGTAGCACTAAGAGTGTCAATAGTAGTTGTGCTGGGCTGGTGGTATTGCGTCTGCTGCGAATGCTCCTTCTCCACCGAACCTCCTGCTCCGCTTCGCCTCACCACGGCCGTACGACGACGACGACAACGACGACGACGACGACGACTACTACTACTACTACTTCTACCATTACTACTACTACTACTACTACTACTACTACTACTACTACTACTACTACTACTACTACGACTACTACTACTACTACTACTACTACTGCTACTACTACTACTACTACTACTACTATTACTACTACTACTACTACTACTACTACTACTACTACTGTACTACTACTACTGACTACTACTCATTACTACTAACTATACTAGACTACGACCAACTACTACTAACTACTACTGACTACTACTAACTACTACTAATTACTACTAACTACTACTAACTACTACTAACTACTACTAACTACTACTAACTACTACTAACTACTACTAACTACTACTAACTACTACTACCTACTACTAACTACTACTAACTACTGCTACTACTACTACTACTACTACTACTACTACTACTACGACGACTACGACTACTACTACTACTACTACTACTACTACTACTACTACTACTTGTGGTCACGCGCACGACATGGCCACGGCCTGTGGTTGCCTCATTACCCTACAATGAGACACACGCAAAGTGGGGTGCGAGGAAAGGTGGGGCAGGCGCCGCGGATTGACGAAGCTGTAGTGTCGCGGCCTTGGCCCCGCAGGACGCGCCTGGCTCAAAACAGCCACAGGACGAATGGCACACGGAGCTACTCCAGTACCACACGTCCCAGGCACGACCGCCAAGGCGCATCGAGGCGGGCCAGACCCAACACAGCACAGGACGGCGACGACTACGACGACGACGAGCACTACTACTACTACTACTACTACTACTACTACCACTACTACTACTACTACTACTACTACTACTACTACTACTACTACTACTACTACTACTACTACTACTACTACTACTACTACTACTACTACTACGACTACTACTACTACTACTACTACTACTACTACTACTACTACTACTACTACTACTACTACTACTACTACTACTACTACGACTACTCCTACTACTACGACTACGACGGCTACTACTACTACTACTACTACTACTACTACTACTACTACTACTACTACTACTAC